GTCGCGACTTATAGCGCCGGTGAATATTTTGACACGGTACAACTCATGATCCCAGTTACAAGGCCATCACAAGTGTTTGGTTTGAAGCACAGTACGATTTGTAAGCGGTTTTATGGGTTCAAATATCATCATTGATTTTAAAGATCGCCATACAATGTGATTGTGCTGTACACTCTGACAAAAAGCTACACTCTCACAAAACACGGTAGTACTTTATCAAGGGTTTCAAGAAATAGTCTCTAGCATTTCATATCTAATAAAATTTCCTCGATGAAATGAGGAAAGTAAAGTTAAAAAAACTACTGTCAGTAAACCATGAATTTTGTCTCTCTGCTGCCGGAAGTTATCAATTGGCAAAGGTGCTGCCTCAAGTAAACGTTCCAGTACTGAATACTTGTCAATGCAAATAGCTGTCTAGTAGTAAAGTTAAGGAAAATTGATAATTATAAAGTTATCTTTAACCACTCTTTGAGACAAGGTATGGTTAACCACAGTCGGTTCTTAAACAGGCCAGGTAGCCTCCTATGCAAGAAAGACAGCACACCAAAACAGGGACATGTAGCCTGTAGCTTCTGTTCACAACCTCGATAAGACGGTTCTATGCTGAAAGCAATTGTGGTTGTTCAACAAACAAATTTAATAAGAATTCGACTTGAGGATGTTGGGATAGCATATCGGATAAACTGCTTTTGCGGAGAGAGATACATTTCAGAAACTGGCAGGAAGCTGAAGAACTGGATCAATGAACACATGGCTTGTCTCAGAAGAGCAGGTTAGAAGGACTCAGCTGTTGCGAAACAGTATATTATAGAACGATACGGTACAATTTGATGGAAGCAGCGGAGTCTGTATGGAAGCAGTTACGGTTAAACGAACAAGGAAAAAGATTAACAGGCAGGAAGAAACATAGAATATCACTCCAGCGTGACTTCATCTGTTGCATGATGAAATAGTCAATGAATGTTTACTGTTTCGACACATCACAATTGAATGGCGTTATACGGGGTAGGTGTTAGTGTAAAATGCGTTTTATGTCAGTAAAGCCGTTCCGTCTTTGCTTTATGATCAGGTTTAATAACTATGCATCAAGAAAATAATCCATTGATGAATTACGGGCGCAGAATCAAAAACTCTTTCAAGAAAATTATAAGAAAGAACCTCGCAGAAATATATCATGTCAGTTATATCAGTTGATCACTAAGATGAAGACACGACAATGAATAGGCTGAAAGGAAGTGGATAATTCCTCATTGCAATTATCAGCAGTTTAGTGCCCTTTGCATTATTAGAAAACAGTTATTGGGTCCTGTTTGTTCTTAATGTCGTGTAGCATTACCAGAGGTGCAACTTGGCCTGATGCCAGAAGAAATAAATTGAATGACTTAGCAGAACTCAGTCGTATTCGTTATTGGCGTAAAGTACGTCACAGAGTTTGTGACGTTGATGGCTGAATTTATCCCATGAAATGCGATCACGTTGGTTCTGACGTTCTAAGATATCTTCGTAACAAACCATCTTTGGTGCCATCGTCTCTTAAAATGAAACGGAGCTTGAGTGGCGGAGCTTCGTGACACTTCCGGTATGACTGAAGCGTGTCAAGAACTATGAAGTTCGTTTCAGCTTTCAGCAACAAAGTTTTGTAAACTAACGCTTCCGGCTACTCGAATAGTTGCACTTTCGGCTGGGCGTTACATTTTGGAACGTGAATCGGTGATCGCCGTTGCTCAGACGTCAAGCACATGAAATGCATTTTCGTCTGATCCAATCAGAACCATTCGGCGTTGCTGCTTCGTTCTACAGAAGCAGCCGCCAAGTGTAATCCAATACGGTACGCGGTCATGGCTGACGACCAAGCTACAAAAGCAGCCGCGGGTTAACCCATGACGTCACAGTGGACGTCCGGGCGGTGGGCAGCGGTCAGCAAATTCTGGGTTTGCCTCAGACTTAGCTTATATTCCACTGGAGTCCATTCGAACGTCGAATGCACTCTTTGAAGTTGCTGTTTCCGCGCGTAATCATAAACGATAAGGAGTCATCGAACCTGACTGGCCTATTGTACAAC